GGTAGGGCCCAGCCCCCTGACCTGGGAAACTGATCCAATTGGTCTGACTTAAAGACTCTGCCTATTMGAAACTTTCCCCCACCCCAACACACACAATGCACTACGGCAGGTGTCCACAGGAGGCTGCAGGTCACCTTTTTCTACTTTAGACAGGTATCTGGYAAAGAGCTAAAGGGGTCCCTGTGAATCACAGGTTCAGCCACCCTTACAATAAAGCCTTTATGGCCATCCCCTCAGAAGTCCCAACAGCCAGCAGGTGCAGTGAGTGGCACACATCAGTAATCCAGCAGCTTGGGAGGCCGAGGAAGGGGGATCAGAAGTTTGGGGCCAGCCTCAGCAATTTAGCAAGGCTCTGTCTCAAAATGAAAAATAAAGAGATGTTCTTTCCTGAGAGTCCCTGAGGTTTCTTGCTTCAACTGTGTTGGGACCCAACCAGGTGCTCCATCAAGCCCCAGCCACTCAGAGCCAGCAGCCCTTCACCACTTCTGCACGACACCCTTGAACTGACTCAAGCCATATGCCTTGCAGCTGCCAGCCAGGTAGACTGAGTCCACCTCACAGGTGCAGTAGAACTGCCTCTGGGACCCAGAGGCCACCATCAACTGCCAGATCTGCATGGAGCACTAAGCCTCTGACCTGTTCGTGTCTTACTGCTTGGACTGTGATCATGTGGCTTTGAAGAACTTTGCCGAGAACTTAACATGCTGAAAACTGATGGGGCTGCAGAACCAAGGAGGGACCCCACCAGGTGGTCAAATCTTCCTTCCGGATGTCACAAAACCAGGCCATGAGGACTGGGAGACTCGGCTGAATGCCAGGGAATGTGCTTGGTGCTTGAGAAAAAAGTGTCAGCCAGTCACTGCTGGGACTGCACAAACTGGCCACTGACAAAATTGACCCCAGCTTTGTGTGACTTTATGGAGACTCCTTACCTGAATTAGCAGGTGACAATTATCAAGAAATGAGTTGACCATGTAACCAATTTGTGCAATCTGGGGTGACAAAATATCTCTTTGACAAGCTGTTTTAATCAGAATTTTGCTGTTGTGACCAAAAGACCTGACAAGAACAATCTTAGAGGAGGAAAAGTTTATCTGGGGGCTAAGAGTTTCAGAGGTCTCAGTCCACAGACAGCAGGCTCCATTCCTCGGGGCTCGRGGGGAGGCAGGACCTCATGGAGGAAGAGTGTGGTGGAGGGAAGCAGCTCACATGGTGATCAGGAAGCAGAGAGAGACTCCACTCTCCAGAGACAAATGGAGACCCCAAAGCCATGCCCCCAATGCCCCTCCTCCAGTCACACCCACCTGCCTCCAGCCACCACCCAGTTAATCCCATCATGAATTCATTCACTTGTTGGGTTAAGGCTCTCACAACCCAGTCATTTCATCTCTCAGTGTTTCTTGCATTGTCTCACACGTGGGCTTTTGGGGGACACCTCACATCCCAACCATAATACAAGCACACCCTGGGAGACAGTGATAATGAGAGCTAACTAAGCCTTAGACTGACTTCTCCATAGCCACCAAATAGCCTCCCTGGTCATCAAGGCAGTGTATGCATATTGGGGTTATCTTTTCTACAAGTTGTACCAAAATATCCACTTAAGTACTTTAATTTCTACCATTTCTTCAAATAAAGAAACTTGGTAAACCTTCCCCCCCCCCCCTGCAAAATAAATAAATAAATAAATAAATAAATAAATAAATAAATAAATAAAATAATAAAAGACTGTAGAGGTAGCTCAGTGGTAAAGCATCCCCAGTGAGTCAATCCCTAGTACTAGGAAGATTAAATTTTAAAAATCCTTGCCAAGCACAGTGGCACATGCCTGAAATCCCAGTGGCTCAGAAGGCTGAGGCAGGAGGATCACGAGTTCAAAGCCAGCCTCAGCAACTTAGTGAGGCACTAAGCAATTCAGTGAGACCCTGTGTCTAAACAAAATACAAAAACAGGACTGGGGATGCCGCTCAGTGGTTAAGTGTCCCTGAGTTCAATTCCTGGTACCAAAAAAAAAAAAAAAAAAATTCTGAAGTCCCAACACCCCATCCTTGATTCTTGATTTTACAAGAAGTTATATACAGCTAAAAATCCCAGTGGTGTCAAAACCCTCGTCCTTTAAGCCCTCTCTCTATAGGGCATTGTCAGAGAGGTTTGCTGTCCTCTGAGCTCCCTCCCTCTCCCCGTCTGCCTCTGGGACAGGGGTGGGGTGACTGACTCTTGACTTCTAAGGTGCATTCTAAGCTCTGCCAATGATATTGGCAATATCTCATTAACCTTTCATCACAATGCAATTTTAAGAGCTTTTACTGTGACAGAAAAGTATGCATTTCACTGAAAATTGCTTTCACTTATTGAGTCTTATGGAAATTTAACAAGCAAAAGTTCCTAAATCTTTGCCATGCCCSCTCCCTTCAAGTGCTGTAGAAAAACGAAGTTTCCCCCAAAATTTGCAAAAATTAAAATCAGTCAAAGATCCTTCTCCCCTCCTTTATGTCCTAAATTTCCAGATCCTCAGTTTAAAAAAAAAAACGCTCTTAGTAAATCAACTCCTATTTCTAAAGAAATCAATCCTACTTCTATAAAGAGATCTGAAGAAACCAAACTCCCATCAGTTTGCCAGGCGCAACTTCACAGTCTAGCCAGAAGAGGGCAGCAGCGGACAGCGGGACAAGAAGCAAGCCACCAAAACCAAAAGGAAAAAGCCCCAACAGTGCAGTAATAGTAAATGCAAGAATTTTGTAATAACACCCTTCTGTTGTGATATTTTTCTAATCTCAAGTGAATATTAGCACCTCTCTGACTAATCGTATTAATGAACTATATCATCTTTCACGTCGCCTGATGAAATAACAGGCATAAATCCCCATTGTACCATTCAGCAGAATCTGTGATCACCATCTGCAGSTGACCTGTCCGTGTGCCATCCAGAGGACCAGTCACAGGTTGGAACCCCCAAGTGCTGTGCCTGGAGTGACATGTAACTTCAGGGGAAATGTCACTGACCTGTCCACCTCTCTAGAACCAATCAGATGTAATTGGAGAATGTCCATTATATGGTAGCTTTTGTGGGGTGTTTTTTTTTTTTTTTTAAGAGAACCAAGATGCAGGAACCCAGGGTCGCACCTTGAAAGGATTTATAATCTACTAGGCAAATAGACCCGCTGAGCTACACGATATCAGAATGTTAGTACAAAAATACAAGGAAGATGCTTACATAAATWCATAAGTTGAGAGTACAGAAAGTGGGCTGGGGCTATAGCTCAGTTGGTAGAGTGCTTGCCTCACATGCACAAGGCCCTGGGTTCGATCCCCAGCACACCACACTCCATAATTCTCAAGCAATCATAAAATACAAATCAGATGGAAACTCAGGAACTTATGGAACTGGGATGGGAGTCGAGTCTTTCATGCCTGGCATTTTAGAAGCAGGAGATGTTGTTGTCATTCTGTTTATTACKGCAAATTAATTCAGGTTCCCTTACCAAGTGTCTCTTGGAATCTGACCTTCTGTTGCCCATAGGATCCATCAGGGTCTTGACAATGTCAGGAACAGGTTCTTGGACTCCTGTGTTATAAGGAAAGTCGAGTGGGAAGGTAAAGTTTTAATCAGGAACCAACAGAGGGCAGCAACACACAATCCAACCCGCCGGAACATATTTTTGAGAACACCTTTCATCCTGCTCCATGAATTTCAAGATCGGACAGCCCGGGAGATGCTTATGGGGCTGAAGAACACCCATTTCTTATTTTCATTTAAAAAAAAAAAAAGACTAACCTCACCATTGAGGAGACTAAAATTGTCCCCAGCTGGGATCAAAGTTCACTTCGAAAATGTCTCCTTGAATAAGGGGGTGACATCTGACAGCCACGGCTGGTAACTCTGCCTGCGAGCTCACCCGCCAGTTGGGGTGGGCCCGAGGGAGAGAATCCAGGCTGGGTCTGGATGCACGGTGACAGGACGACAGGGTCCTGAAGGTGGCCCCGCAGCCTTGCACGCCCACCCTGCCCTGGCAGGGACACTGCACGTCGGGCAGAGTGAGGGCTGCCACTTAGGGCACCAGTGACAGGGGCCACCGGGGGCTGGGGATTGCTCCACTGTGACCAGCACCTAGCGATGGAGCGCTCATTGCTTGTGACAGCATGTCACAACTGTGCTTGTCTGAGATGAAGGGAAGACCGAAGCAACCCAGAACACTCCTGCAGTGAGGGTGGGAGCAGAAAAAGACCTGCAGAGCTTGATGCTGAGAATAGGCCTGCACAACTAAAATGCTGCTTAATAAGGCTGAGTCGATGCCTGGTCTCTCACCTGTGTCTGCAAGTGTGTGTGGCAGCCTCAGACAGGGCCCTGATCTTATTAGGGAGAACCTACAAATTGCCTCCATTCAACCAGCTTTGCTCCACAAAAATGACAAGTGCAAGAGCCAGGTATGGTGGTGCACACCTGTAACCCCAGCAGCTCAGGAGGCTGAGGCAGGAAGATCAGGAGTTCAAAGCCAGCCTCAGCAATTTAGCAAGGCCCTAAGCAACTCAGTGAGACCCTGTCTCTAAATAAAATAAAAAATAAGGTGGGGGATGTGGCTCAGTGGTCAAGTGCCCCTGAGTTCAATGCTTGGTAACACCCCCCCCAAAAAAAAATGGCAATTGCATATATCTTAACTCAGGTATAATTAGAACAGTGATGATGATAATAATGTGCCCTTCTGAAGTACTTTCTAAGTGCCAAGATCAGATTCTAATGCATGTGTGAACCCATTCAATACTCGCCATAAGCCAGTGTAGTAGGTGCTAAGATTATACCTAAGCTACAGATGAGGTGATGGGGGACTAGAGAGGTTAAGTAACTTGCTCAAAGACACACAGCCAGAAGGTGGCCAAACTTAATTTGAACCTAGCTATTGAGTCCAGAGCCTCAGGGGAGAGGCTGTGGTCAAATGGAGAGGGTCTCTCTGGGGCAGATGGACTTTAAAAGAACAACCTCACAATCTGCTTTTTCTTCCCAGGTCAGTCAGTACACATTTGCCATGTGCAGTTATCGTGAGAAGAAAGCTGAGCCTCAGGAACTTCTACAACTGGATGGCTACACTGTGGACTACACTGACCCCCAGCCAGGTACCTGCCCACCCTCAAGGCCATGAAGCCACAAAGTCACTCAGCATTTGCCGGGTACTTAACTACTTGCTGGGCACAACRAATCCAGTTTATAGAGGGTTTCACAGGTGATCCTGATGGCTTCAGTCCTCATTTTGGAGTTTACATCCTGGCTGATCAAATGCCATCCTCATCTAGGATGTTGGGGGTTATTTTGGGGGGAGAGGGGGTACCAGGAATTGAACTCTGAGGCACTCCACCACTGAGCCCCATCCCCAGCCCTCTTTTATATTTTATTTAAACACAGGATCTCTCTGAGTTGCTTAGCAACTCGCCATGGCTGAGGCTGGTTTTGAACTCACGATCCTCCTGCCTCAGCCTCCGAAGCCACTGGGATTATAGGCGTGCGCCACCATGCTCAGCCAGGACATTGGGTTTTACACAGGGATTCTCTGGTTAAAAACCCAAAAGAAAACAGCTGTGTTTTTATATTCTGTACCTGTAACTACATCAAATATAGACTATGCCGTTTGATGCTAAAAAGTATTCCTGAGAAAGAAGTCCCCAAATTGCATTTTGTGTATCTGTTGGTGTGTGTTGGTTTTCACCAGTGGTGAGTGGCAGATATGTCTTTGTGACCCAGTGAACCCACCCTCCATACACCCACATAACCCTAGCTAGAATTCAGGTACCCACCAAGGTTAGCAAATAGGACTCAGAGAAGCAAAAACCTCCCTAATAGTCTCTTTGCCAAAGACACCAATCCATAAACACAGACATTGATGCTCCTAAGTCTCGTGTAATTACGGGAACCATAGAAATGGTAGTTATTTCTTGTAAGTTCTACATTGCCCAAGTTCTATATCCTGCCCCCTCACACCTCTCCCCCTACCCATTTTAACTTTTTCCCAGAAAGAAAAAAAATGAATAGAAATCAGCCTCAAAGAACCTTCAAAATGGGGGTGGGGGGTGCGAAATCATTTCAGCATATTAATGAACCACAAGCACCAACAGCCCTCTCCCAGAGAGGTTTATTTTTATGCCAAATCTGCACAAGCATTTCCAACCATACTGCATTATTTGGCCCAAAACCTTTTTTTCTACTCCCATATTGCTCTTCCACATGCAATGAAATACACATAAAAGAAAAAAATAAGAGTTTATAAGAAGATGGGGTGTTAACCTGAAAAGGTGTGGCAGGGACCGCTTGGCCCCGCCCACTTGGAGACAGGGATCCGCCCCACCCCTCTGGACTGCCTGAGGTTAACTGGCCTCTCACCAGAGTCTGAGGGCAGAGCTGACCACGTAGGTCGTGAATTCAAAGCTCTGCCTGGAAAGACTTCATCATGAACMTGAGCTGGAGTTTGAAATGAAAAATTTCACAGAGCCTGTCATTGAAAGAAGGGGGTCCAGAGTTACAAAATCCCCCATCCGGGCATTCCCCGGTGGTTTGGGTCCTTCTTTAGTCACTGGGTCCTCTTCATAGACTCAGTCATTTCTAAGACCTGCAGCTTCAAGCAAGAAGCTGAAAGGTCAGTATGAGAAAGAAAACTCAGACCGTCCACGGACAGTAATTCCTTTTAAGTTGGCTCCTTCTTTCCCTCTCTGCAATTGCTTTGGCCCTGACCACAATCCCACAGAGTGGAGGGGGACCTGGATCCCCATCCCACTTTCTAGCTGGGGAAAAAAAAAAATACCCTGAGATTCTGAGCGATCAAAGGCATCTTCATGATAGAGCTTGGACTTGGGGTCTAGCCCAGGTCACCTTATGGCACTTGCTAGGTGCCAAGCCATCCTTGTTATTGATCAGATGAAAGCAAGACTGTCTCCCTTCAGCAGAGGAGGAGGCAGAGTTGGGGAGAGAGCTATTCTGTGGACATGCGGGAAGAAGAACTGTGCAAGTATATTTTTAAAGCTTCTTTTATTTCTTTTTTTTTTAAAACATTATCCCATGAGATATAGTTTATAAATTCCTTTACAAAAGTGGAAAGTAAATTGATTATGTTCCTGAGGATAATAAGCAGCCTCTCCTCCCTGCCTCTCTCCGTGCCAAGTCCTATTTATTTCCCAAGTACTGTCGCCACCGCATTAACGTAGATTCACAAGTATTCCCTACAGCCTCATCTATAGCAAAGTTAAATAATAAATGATTTTTTTTAAAGTAACACCAGAATAATTTTAAAAGAAAGCTTCACAGAATGGTCTCACCCCACTTTTTTTTTTAAATCCTGGAAATTGGACCCAGGGGTGCTTTCCCACTGAGCCACATCCCCAGACTTTTTTCTGCTTTTTATTTTGAAGAAGGATCTCACTAAGTTGGTTAGGACCTTGCTAAGTTGCCGGGCGATAGCCTCAAACTTGCAATCCTCCTACCTCAGCTTCCCGGGTCACCGAGATTACAGGCATGCACCACCACTCTTGACTTGCACCCACTTTTTGCAAAACAAAAATGGCATAAAATTTGCAGTACTTATGCAGTGAAATACTGTAATGTTTGATAGAAAGTGAAGATTTTAATATTCACAACTGTCATTTTTTTAAAAGTCTAACACAGAATTATTATTATTAGGCAGTGCTAAGGATTGAACCCAGGGCCTTAAGCATGCTAGGCCCTGCTCCATCACTGAGCTGAATCCCCAGCCCCTTAATGTAGAATTTCTTATAAAGTGCGTGACAAAAATAAAACTTCCTTTTGGGCATGGTGGCACCCATCTGTAATCCCAGCCATTTGGGAGGCTGAAACAAGAAGAATCTTAGGTTCAAAGGCAGCCTCAGCAACTTTGAGAGGCCCTAAGCAACTCAGCGAGACCCTGTCTCTAAATAAAATATAAAAAGGGGCTGGGGCTGGGGCTCAGTGGTTGAGCACCCCTAGGTTCAATTCCTGGTAACAAAATAAAAAATAAATAATAAACATAAAACTTCCTAAGTCCCACTTCTAATCTATGAACCAGAAAGAAAGAAGGAATAATTCTCATATTTAAATAACCATTGTAGGTAATTCCTACATGCAAAAAAAGTTTACCAGATAGAGATCTAAGTCCTGCATATTTAGCCAAAGTCCTCAGAGAGTTGAGGGATCCAGTCACCCACTCTTTGGAAGACGGATGCAGATCTTGGAGGACATCAGGGTCCATCTTTGCCTTTCCCACCCCTTACCCAGGTTGTTAATGGAACCCACTGGTGGAGATGTTAATGGACTAGCAACCATCATTGCCCATTCTTTACCATATGAAGAATGCAACTGGATGTCTTTGCCTTAGGTTCAGCCCAGGATCCAGATGGTCACCCATCAAAAGCATCTGTACTGCTAGGCACGGTGGCACACACCTTTAATCCCAGCAGCTTGGGAGGCTGATGCAGGAGGATTGCAAGTTTGAGGCCAGCCTCAGCAACTTAGCGAGGCCCTAAGCAACTCAGTGAGACCCTGTCTCTAAATAAAATATAAAAAGGACTGGGGATGTGGCTCAGTGGGTAAGCACCCCTGGGTTCAATCCTGGGCACCAATAAATAAATAAATTTGTGCTAAATAAATTACACCTGTTTAGGGTCCTCAAAATGTCAATTTGGGGAATTATTAAATGATTGTATGTGAGTCTCACTTAGAAGCTCCTCCTTTTGAGCTAAAAAAATGAAAATGTTTTACTTACCTTTCTCTGGAATGATTTGAAGAGTGCATTACAGTGTCTCACTTCCCCAAGCTATGTAATCATCCAGTGAAAAGACATTACTTAGAATAAATAATTCCATGGTGCAGTATGTGAGCAACTAAAATAATCTTAGACAACTCATATAGACCCCCTTCCCTGCTATAAATAGGCTACAGTGAACACTTATTTAGTGCAAGTTATTGGAAAGRACTCCCTCCCCACCCCAGGGAGCTGGCCAACACACCCTCCCCTGGTCTGCCTCTCTCCGTTCTCAGATGTGTCCTTGGGTCTTGGCAGGTCAGCATCCGGGGGACTGTGCTCTGTCTTCTCCATGGAGAGGTCATGAAATGTCCCACCTTATAAAAATTTACAGCGTCCGGCCCCAGGAATCGCTGCTTTGACTGATCCTGCCTTGATTATGGCCCACGTTTAAGCATGCTAGGCAAGTGCCCCATCACTGAGCTGCATCCTCAGCCCCTCAATGCAGAATTTCTTATAAAGTGTGTGTCGGAAATAAAACTTCCTTTTGGGCATGGTGGCACCCATCTGTAATCTGTTCCCTTTGTGTCTTCCTCTCTTGGCTCTCATTCAACTGCTTTGCTCTTTCTCTCCTTGTTGGTTTTGCTGTGTGTCCTTGGTGTCTTATAGCTCAGCACTTAACATCTATCAGCTCTGCACCCAAATAGTCGGGGTTAGAAGCCTAGCTATGCTGCTCCCAGGCTAGCTTTGGGTCCAAAGGGTAGTTATCAATATCTGCATGACTCAGTTTTCTCATCTGTAAAATGGGAATACTAGCACTTATATCTTAGGGTTACTTTTTTTTTTTTTTTGGTACCAGGGATTAATCACAGGAGCACTTAAACCCTGAGCCCCATCCCCAGTCCTTTTTATATTTTATTTAGAGACAGGGTCTTGCTGAGTGCTTAGGTCCTCACTAAGTTGCTGAGGCTGGCTTTGAACTCGTAATCCTCCTGCCTCAGCCTATCCTAGGAGCTGGAATCACAAGCATGCACCACTATATCTGCCTAGGAAATTAAATGAAAACCTGAAAATTTAGCATCTTTCTTTGTCTCTGAATGACCACATAATGGAGAGGGCTCTCCACTTCCCAAGGTGACCCTGGTTGTCTTTCTGACAGTAGCACCAGGAACACTATCTCCATCACCAGCAACAGGCCCTGGGGAAGGGAGACGGCACCCTTCCAGTGAAAGCTAGCCTGACATTTAGTGACTGTAGCAAGGTAGCTTATCCCAAGTCTAGACTACAGTCTGCCAAGCCACTCTTCTTTTAAATGTTTGGTATTCATTTTTCCAGACTGACAGTACCCCTCAAAGCTCTTCTCCTCCCTCACTTCCAGAATTTTCCTTCTTGTTATACCATCCATTAAGTTCACCGGATTTCCCCAGCTCCTTAACTATCTGCCATTCTCCCCAAACTATACATGTTTATACCCATCCTCAGAAATGAGACAAGCCAGGTTCTGTGGTGCACACCTGTCATCCCAGTGACCTAGGAGGCTGAGGGAGGAGTCCAAGGCCACTTCAAGGCCAGCCTCAGCAATTTAGCGAGGCCCTAAGCAACTTAGCAAGACCCTGTCTCAAAATAAGAAATAAAAAGGGCTGAGGATGTGTCTCAGTGGTAAAGTGCCCCTGGGTTAAGTCTCCAGTACTCCCACCAAAAAATAAGTTAGACAAAATATCCCTCATAATCTTAATCGTCAAAATGCTTTTATTAAGACTTGATATTGTACCTCTAGACTCTCCATATAAAGAAACAGCTGTCTATTGTCCGCACTCCCTGGTCTTTCTAAGTGAGAAATTTGCAAAATTAAGATCGTCATCACAATGGAGAAGTCTTACTGTCACCAGAAATCGCTTCCAATGCTAATGTCAGACAGGACTGGACCTCACTAGAAATTTGGAGATGCCAATCACTCATTTAAACTCCTTTGAACTTTGAAGTGATATTGGGATGATGATGAGAAACCTGATGAAGCTTTGTTTCTGGATAGAAAGTTCCAAGGGACCCAAAATACACATAGGGTTCTGGAAAGAGAGGCTTCCACCTACTGATTTAAACCTTGAAGACTGACTCTGGAAAAAGACGGATTTATGGCATAGCATTCATTCAGTGCGTGTTTATTGAGCACCTACTGTGTGTTCTGTGTTGTTCTACTTACCAAGCAAACGGCAGTGAGTGAAACAGAAAAACCCCCATCCTCATGAAGCAAAATAAGTGATGCAGTTTGCTGGAAGGTGCTAAGAACAATAGGAAAAAAATAAGCAAGATAAAGAGAGATGGAAATAAGGGGTAGAGGCCAGAAAAGGTCTTGTTGAGAATGTGAATGTAAGCAAAACAACGTTAGGGAAATGGGGATGGGAATCATGCAGATATCTGGAAGAAGAATACTCTAGATTCAGAGAACAGCAGATGCAAAGGCCCTGAGGTGAGAACATGCCTGGGTGTTCCAGAAACAACAAGAGATCATTGGTTTTGCAATGAATGGAGCACAGATGTGCATGAAAGAGAGAGAAAACTCAAGGTGGTGCCCATCARTGTAAGCTCCGGGCTGTGTCAGAAGCTAGGCTTTCATCTCAGTGGAATGTGGAAACTGGCATGTTTTGAGCAGAGAAATAACAGGATCCGACTCTCATCCTAAACCCATGACTGGCTGGCTGCCATGTTGAGAACCCACCATCCATAATGAAGCTGGAATCACACAGATCAGATGGGACGCTGTTCCAATAACCCATAAGAGGGGTTTACAGTACGATTCAGGGTGGCGTCACTGGAGGTGGAAGAAGCCACATTCTGGTAATGTCCTGAAGGTAGAAATGTCCATCCATGCCCTTTGGGAGAAACCAGAGAGAACATGAAGAATGACTCCTGGATTGGGAACTTGAACATCTGGAGAGACAAGCCCCATTTCCTGAGATGGAGAGGAGGCCAAGGAGAAAGACTAGGAGTTCCATGTTGCAGAAGGCAGGCTTGGGATGTCCATCAGATGCCCCAAGGAGAAGTCCAGGAAGCCACTGCCACCCAAGTCCGGAGCTTGAGGGAAAAGGTTCAGGGCTCAGGAAGAAACGTGAGGACCTTCACTCAGCATAGTCCTGGCACTGAGAGTTTAGGTAGCATCGTGGGAGTGCCGTAGATAAAGAGGAGAAGGGGTACAAGGAGAGAACTCCAAGGTGCTCCCACATTTGAAGGTCAGGATGAGGAGGAGCAAGGTAAGCAAGATAAACAGCAGCCAGGGAGGAAATCAGTTTTCCTGGTAGCCAAGTAAAGAGAGTGTTTAAAAAGAGAAAGGAGTAACAATTCACAATAGCTAAACTGTGGGACCAACCGAGGTGCCCTTCAGCAAAYGAATGGATAAGGAAAATACACAATGGAATATTACTCAGCCATAAAGAAGAATGAAATGATGGCATTTGCCAGTAAATGGATGGATCCAGAGACTGTCATGCTGAGTGAAATAAGCCAATCCCCAAAAACCAAAGGCCAAATGTTCTCTCTGATATTCAGATGCTAACACACAATAAGTGCAGGGGGTGGGGCAATAGAAGTTCATTGGATTAGACAAAGGGGAATGAAGGGAAGGGAGGGGATGGGAATAGAAAAGTGGAATGAATGGGGGACATCACTTTTCTGTGTTCATATGTGAACACATGACCAGGGAAACTTCATATCATGTACAACCACAAGAACAGGATTTAGACTCCATGTACATACGATATGTCAAAATTCACTCTGCCGTCACATATATCTTAAAAGAACAAATTTTTAAAAAAAAAGAAGAAGAAGGGAGAAAGTGTAAAATGCTGCTCATTAGATAACAGAAAGAAATTAGAACTTTGACCATCAGACCCAGGGATGGTCATTGGTGGCCTTGAAAAGAAAATTTCAGTCAAGCAGCAGCCTGATTGGAGGGACTTGAAGCCCCAACAGGAGGAGAGAGAGCCCCTTCCTGCTCCAGCTGTGGTCTTCACACCAGCATCCTCTGGAGCTTGTTAGAAATGCAGAATCGCAGCCAGGTACCATGGTGCACACCTGTAATCCCAACAGCTTGAGAGGCTGAGGCAGGAGGATCTCGAGTTCAAAGCCCTAAGCAACTCAGTGAGACCCTGTCTCTAAACAAAATACAAAAATAGGCTGGAAATGTTGCTCAGTGGTCAATGCCCCTGAGTTCAATCCCTGGTACCCACCCCTGCCCCCCCCAAAAAAAAGAGAGAGAGAGAAAAGAAATGCAGAATCCTAGGCTCATTCCAGAACCTACTGAGTCAGAAGCTACAGGGGATTCTAACATGTACTGGAATTTGAGAAGCCTCAATAGAGATGCCCCTTTTGTTGTAAAGAGAATAGAACAGTCCCTGAAGGGGAGACAAAGGTCAGGAGAGGTTTTGGTGGTGATGGTTTATTTGTTTTTTAAATCTGAGGGGAAATTGTAGGGCAGATGTTTGGTGACAGTACTGTCACCAGTAGGATTAAGGAAGGGACATGAGCCAGGCTCTTTAACACCATGGTCCCACTCAGTGGCCAAGTGGTTCTCAGGCTCCCCATGGTAGAGTCAGATCCATGGCTCCTCCCCTCCCCTGGCCCAAGGAGAAGCTTCAGGAGCTGCCTCCTAAGGGCTGAGTCTGGGCTCCGCTGAGAAGTTGTATTTCCCTCCTCTTCCAGGTTTGGAAGGTGGCCGAGCCTTCTTCAATGCAGTCAAAGAAGGGGACACGGTGATATTTGCAAGCGATGACGAGCAGGATCGCATCCTGTGGGTCCAGGCTATGTACCGGGCCACTGGACAGTCCCACAAACCGGTACCCCCGACCCAAGTTCAGAAGCTCAATGCCAAGGGTGGGAACGTGCCTCAGCTGGACGCCCCCATCTCTCAATTCTGTAAGTAAATATGCCATTTCTTAAAAACGTAGCTCTGTACAGTAAAGTGATCTTCCAAAGTTGAATGCAAAAAAAGAAAAAAAAAACTAGTTGCTTTTATATTTAGGTTTCAAAAAAATCATGTTTTTGGAAAGCATATATGTAGGTGCATTCAGGGCAAAAGTTGGGAGAAAATATCAGTTGAAAATAAATTTTAAAGTGCAATACTTGACCTTCTCCACCAAGGACTCAGCGAAGCAAAGTCTATTTCACATGTATTTTTATCTCTTTGTCTTTCTTGGTGAGAGAGTTTGGAATTCACAAACAGGTATTTGTTTGAGTTCGTCTTCAAATAGAATAGATTAGGGATGTCCCTGCTTCATTTCTTCCCATTAAAAGTTATTCAAAAATAGGGTTGATTTGAAGTAAACTTAAATTTGCAATTTAGAACCATTTAAAAATAAATGATGACATTTTCACATGCAGTGGGAAGAAGGGGGAAAAAAAAAAAACATGGTACCTAAAATCCCATGCTGAGCGAAAATATCAGAGACTCCAAAATGAAACCGTCTCCTTAAACAGCCCCAGTTCAGGTTCTAGTATCTTCTCCTCTGATCTCTGTAGCGGTTTGCCTTCTTCCCCTTTGCCCTTCCCATTTCCTACCTAGGATGGACCCCAACACTTCTGATACACAGGGGAAGGCAAAAGCCATCATAGGCTTGGAGATATTTATTAAAACAAAACTGGAGACATCAAGCATGCAATGTTGCAAATATTGACCTCCAAGTGGAGACTGTGCCTTACCCTGAATATCAAGTCGACTAGGGACAACTCAGGTCCAAGTCATTTTTCGCAGTGGTCATGGGGACCTCTGACATCAGCCTGGAGCCCACTTACTGAGTCGAGTTCACTGAACAATTATCTAGAGAGGAGAAACACTTGTAAGAAAGATGCACCAGGTCCCTGCAAGAGCATCCGCCTCCCAGTGGGTACCAAACCAGGCAGCCAAGGTGATAAATTGATAAATACCAGACAATGATCAATGTCTGATAACCGGAGTCGGTTGTATCGTGGTGACTGGTGGGAAATGAGACATTAGGCAGATAGACAACCAAGGAAATCTTTTCTGAGTCCAGGTCCAAATTCTAGGGTGTTGGCCCCCCAAATACCTGAGGATTGAGAATTGCAGCCAAAGGAAAAGCAGGTGCCAAGACCCCCSCAAAGCTGGCACATCCCCTTCAGCAGTGCTTTTGGTTTTCCCCTGTTGCTCTTAAGCAAAAGGTGGAAATAGATGGCAGAATTTTGCAGCTCTGATGAGTAAATTCCCCTTTTTATGAATTCCACTGCTGTGTCCATTTTTGCTGGACAGAGCTCTGCTCTTACCATAAAATCGAGAGCAGACCTCTTTTTGAATGGCAACCTCGGACCATCTGGTGCTTCCAGGAAGTCCTGTTCAGTACTAGCTGTTTCTTCAAGGAAGATGCCTTTCTATGGTGGAACCAGATAATCCCAACAGCTTTCCACACAGAAGGTCATGAAAGAGTAGGAAAGACTTAGAGGTTGGATCTGGGAGAGATGGGCGGCCCTCCTGCCCCAACCCCCACCAAGCTCCCACTCCCTTGCTGTTTTCTCTCATATCTCCTGGCACCTAGGTTTATGGATAATACTGAAGAGAGCAGCAGTCATTGATTGCGATCAAAGCATAACAGATGTTCATTTAATTTTTCTAAACAAAAAGCAACGCTGCCTGATAGGCTCATTTTTAAGACTTTTGGGGAGAATACCTTCCCACACACCTGAAATGGAACCATCCCTGTACAAGAAAAAAAATTGTAATGATGATCACCATCCAAAGCAACCTCATAAAACATACATCTTGGAATATTTGGAAAATACTGGTTTTATTTCCAAATACTCTCCGATTCTTCGGAGATCATTTCACTTTGAATTCATTATCTCTGTTCTATCATCGGCCCAGTGGAGGAAATTCATCTCTGTTAATACTACATAGTTTGTGGTTAGCCCCACTTTTTTATCACAGGTATAGGGAAGACAAAGGACACTCATAAGTAATATTAAATGACAAGGACCTGGAGGCCCAGCTCAGTGGTAGAGCACAGGCTGAGCCTGGACAAGGCCCTGGGTTCAATTCCCAGCACCTTCCACCCCCCCCCCCACACACACACACAAAATGACTGGTGACAGAAGCGACTGTGGAAGGGTGACTTTTCAGGAAAATACACAGGGGCTCTTGCTTGAGATTTCTGCCTGTGATTAGGATCGATAGCTGTTAGGTATCAAAAAAAGGTGCAATTGGATACACACAGCAAGATCCACGTCACTACCCTGTTTAAACAAAGGGGGATTTTAGTAAATGGGGCATCCAGCAAAATCCTAAAGATTCCATTTGGGAGGAATAAAGAATATCTATCAGCTCTTAAGAGAATATAAATTACATTGAGAGATGAAGGAGAAGGACACTTAACAATACACTTCTGGGATTTATTTATCAGAACTGGGTTGTAGGGTCACCTGCTTCTCATGCAACTCCCTAAACTCTGCTCAGGATTTAAAATTCTCCAAAGAGCATGAGGTCCTACTGCATGTACCTGTTTCTACAAAAACAAGGCCACCACCAGGTGTGGTGATGCAAACCTATAATCCCAGTGGCCCAGGTGGTTGAGGCAGGAGGATCACAAGTTCAAAAGCCAGCCTCAGCAAAAGTGAGGCATTATGCAACTCAGTGAGACCCTGTCTCTAAATAAAATACAAAATAGGGCTGGGGATGTGGCTCAGTGGTCGAGTGCCCCTGAGTTCAATCCCCAGTACCCCCAAAAAAAATCATACTCAGAATAAGTTATGATTGTTTTTAGTTTTTAATTTTTTTATGCTTTGTAGTACCCATGACCAACACATCCCAGTTTGCCCAGGTCTGAGGGACTTACTGTGCTAAAAGCAGGGAAGACTTGGGCAAATCACGATGCACCACTGGTCACCTTAAGTATGCATTGACACTGGGTTTGACAGAGCTCCCTACATATAAAGCTTGATATGTTTGATAGCTATGTTTTGAACTTAACAAATAAAAGMAGCTGTGAAGTAATTGTGAACTAACCTGATGGTTTCTAAGTCATGGGAACAGAAGCCAAACTTGATGGAACTCTAGGTGAAATTTTATTTAGCACCTGAACTAGCAAACATGGCATCCAGCAAAATCCTAAAGATTCAATTTGGGAGGAATAGATAATACCCATCATCTCTTGAAAGTATACAAGGAACATTGAGAGATGAAGGAGAAAGTCAGATAACATACAGATTTGGGATTTATCAGAACCGGGTTGTAGGGTCACCTGCTTCTCAAGTGACTTTCTTTTATTTAGAGACAGGGTCTCACTGAGTTGCTTAGCACCTCACTTTTGCTGAGGCTGGCTTTGAACTTGAGATCCTCCTGCCTTAGCCTCCTGGGCTGCTGGGATTACAAGCTTATGCCACTGCACATAGCCTAAGTAGCAAATTTTGATTCTTCATTTACATTGGTTGACTTGTATTTTTTAAAAATCAAGTATTGCATTTTAAAAATGTTTCCTTGACTTCCAGAAGGTAAGGGTCATTTTTAAATACTTACACATATCTCATTAAATCCTGTTTTTGAATATTTTTTTCAGAGGACTTGCCATTCTTGCTAGTGAATGATTTTTTAACACCTTTCAATAACTTTGAAATTGCTTTATTAGTTTTTACTCTGCAAAAGGGGAGCTATTATAGAAATGTTTTGAGGGCTAGAAAGAAAAGAAAACACTCCAATCTTATCATAAACTAACTGTTCACCAGAGACACTTGTGAATGGGACATTTTCTAGCTTGGGAAACTTGGGAGTACTTGGGAATTTTGGGGGTCTCTCTAAATTCAGTTTAATGGCTTTCTTGGTGCAGTTTGTATATCTTACAATTTCAAAACGAAAAGACACATCTACGAAAGAGTGGAGTAGAGTGTTGATATGGAATTATTTTAAAAAAAATAGATCCTGCTATTCATTCGTTTGTGTGGGACTCTACAAAGATTCTGGGAGGGTTCCATCAACCTTTAACACTTTTTTATTCTTTTATGGTTTTTTTGTGTCTGTTGTTGATTTAATTTTTTTCCTTTTTAGTTAAAATTCTAAAATAATAATAATAAGTTGGTACCTAGTTACCCAACTTTTTAAAAATAAATCCTTGCAATTCTCTAGTTTTTAAGGCCAACGGGGCTCCCATGGAGAATGTCCAGATCAAAAATCGAGCCAAGCCACCATTCCTTATGCCAGGTGGCCGCTCACGAAGACACCCATTGTGTGTTGGTGAAAAACAGAACCCCGGTTCTCATTTGGAGCAGGGTGGGCAAGAGGGGGTACTTTCAGCTTGGACATTGGGTCAATGATTATTTGATGTATGACTCACCCTGAGTTATTGTAATATCATTTTTCTCCACTAATAACTGTTAACAACATCCGTGATGCCCCAAAGATGGATGTTTCTATGAATAGTTCATTTTTTTTTTTTTTTTGGTCAATCCTTGAACAGTCTTCTATGATTAGTGGGGCTTGGGGTTACTGTTGGTTTGGGGGAGGTTGATTTCGTTTTTCTTTTTCTTTTTTTTTTTTTTTTTTTTTTTGGTTCTTTTGAAGTTTTCTTATTTGATCTTTGCTCGAACTCAAAAACGTTAGCCGCTAGGTTAGAACTCTTGTCTGCTTTTCTGAGCCTGTTGCTTGTTTTAATGTTATTCTGGTTTGTTCCTTCTTACCCTGCTAACTTCTAGCTGGACAAAAGGGTAAGTGGTCGTCTGTAGCTAGCACAGCTCAGATAATCCGANTTAGTGGGGCTTGGGGTTACTGTTGGTTTGGGGGAGGTTGATTTCGTTTTTCTTTTTCTTTTTTTTTTTTTTTTTTTTTTTGGTTCTGTTGAAGTTTTCTTGTTTGATCTTTGCTCGAACCCAAGAACGTTAGCTGCTAGGTTAGAACTCCTGTCTGCTTTCCTGAGCCTGTT